TATATGCTTATAGTCTGCACCAGCTCGCAGGTGTGCTACTACACGCGCTATAGTAAATAAAACCCACAGTCTTATAGAGTTCGGGTTGCTGCAGTGTTGTAATAAAATGTCATTGTATTGTATTGTTATAATGTTAGGATAGTTGTATTGTATTGTTATAATGTTAGAATAATAGTATTGTATTGCTATAATGTTAGGATAATAGTAGTATTGTATTGTTAGGATAATAGTATTGTATTGTTAGGATAATAGTATTGTATTGTATTGCTATAATTTAAATTTTATATTCGGGTTATAGTAGTATTGTTATGACTATACTATTCTCATTAGAATAGTACTGCTGTTATTACTAATAGTATTGTTTATAGTAAAATATTCATGTAATTCTGTATTATTATTGCTAGTATTCTGTTATTATTACTAGTATTATTACTAAAGTATTCCTGTATTGTTTTAATTTTAATTTTAATTTGGATTGTTATGGTTTAATATTATTCCTGTAACTATTCGGGTTGTTCTGGGATTTCGGATGATATTCTGCTGCTCTGTAGCAGATGGCGCACACTCGGGGAATCTTTTGCAGGATATCGACCCTGGGATGTGCTTTTGTTTGCTCACATAGTTCGTCCGTTTGCCTGCATATTTTTGCACATTTTCCTCTGGCATACCTTTGCCCCAGATGGGTCTTTCATTTTTCTCTTTTCATTTTTGCTTTTCTCATGCGGATGGGCATTATAGGAGCATACAGATACGTTCTGAGCGAGTCACTCTATTTTAGAAGGGCTGTTCTTCTGCAGCCACTGACTCCTTTGGGCTCGGATAAAAAGTACACATTTTCTGGGTTATTCGGGAATCTTCTGTGCATGTGCGCATCTATGCTTGCAAGCGCCTCCTCCTACAAGACCCTTTCTTCTTACGACGGAAAGTCTCCCTTCTTCCTGTACATATCCATGGGAAAGGGCTTTGGCCTATTTGCAGCTGCTTTTCTCCTGGGAGTTATTTCTTACTCCGGGATATTCGGGTTTTCTATCGTTGAGTCTGGGTACGTTATAGCATACTCTTTCTCCGCAGTTCTCCCCGTGGGAATATTCGGGAAGTCCCTGCAGCTGTACTTCACAGGATATTCCGGCCTGGGAGTGGCAGTTCTCGCATGCTCTGGGGCCGTATCAGGCTTCTTCGTCTGGGGAAACTCCGTGCACAAAGAGAAAGTAGGGAAGAGGATCCTGAACGCATGCTCATGCTTTGCCGTGCAGCTGCTTCTCTCTGTTTTCTCGGACTCCGAGGTCTTTGGAGTCTTTGTCTT